CAAGAGCTGTAATTCCAAGAGCTCAGGGCCAACTTATCATCCTAAACTTGTGACCATACCAGATAGGTGACACGTTAAATAGAGTGGTGGAAATACAAGAAACAGTCCATTCTACTGAATACAATACACATTAGGTCATTTCCACAAAAAAGTAAACTTCTGATGGCAATACATACCATTTCTCACATCAAGCAGAATACAGTTGCCATTGAGATCTCCATTGGAACAATCATTAACCTTATTTAATGCCTCTAATCTATTTCGCCACTGGGATGGTGTGAGGGGTATAGCTCGAATTGAGGGCTCAAGCAAAGGAAGATGTGAAATTCCTCCTTCCAACTGTAGATAAAACTTCACAAATGAGTAATATGCATTCAGATTTATAAGGCAGGAAACATGACAAGCACGGACCACATTCATTGTAGAAACTGCAAATTAATATAACAACCTCATAGACACGAATAAACCATGTTTACTTAACAATATAACTGGGACTAACTTTTTCAAGACAGAACTTCAAGTAAGAATATTTTGAAAGGGAACTGGGTTTGACAGTCCACCCTAATGACCTTTGTGATTTCTATACTTGAAATCCCTTTAATCATGGTGGAAAAAGTTGCTTCAGGAACTTCTTTTTAGGCTTTAGAAACTAGATCTTTTATCGATACAGGAATGAAGAAAAGACTGTGGTTGAAGTGTGACTAATAGACAGCTGTAAAGAGAGTAACTAGAAACAAGTGCATATAAAATTAAAAAAAAACAGTGGAATTATGTAACACATTTCTGAAATCACCTGTAATTGGTGTCACGGATATACTCGAGCAATTTAAAATTTTTTGAGGCAGACAATCTTGGAACACGATATGAAAAGCTAAAGCCTAATGTAACTGAAGGGGACAAAATTGCTAAATAAATATTTCAAATAACCTCCTATCCAAACAAACCCACTATGATTTGTAACTTTAATGTCTACAAAATCAAGCATCTGAAAAAATATTCAACTCTGCCAGAGTGAATTGCAACAAAGATTCCACAATGATCATGATTTAAGGAAGTGATAGTGAACAAGATTGGAACTCGCCCCTTGAAAACAATTGGGAGCTTCATGGGAAAAACACATGAAACCAATGTAGCTGTCAGCAAGGCTGTCAACAGCTAAAAAGTAGCCAACACCTCATGTATGAGCATAAAGACAACACCTATTAACAACATGTGACATGAAAAAGCGTTATTTCTATTTCATGTTTTTATCGTGGGAAAGGAATGAATGGTTAACTATTTCAACCTACTAATCAATCCGGCACTATCCTGGACACAAGAATAAAAGATGCCAAACTTTAAGAAAAGTCAATTCTTCTGACCAATGGAATCAGTCAAATTTTAAGAAACTCATAAGCAGAATTCTATCAGCTCATATGGCTAAACAGTCAAGTCCAATTCAAGAATTTACTATTTCAAGGTCTACTTTCACTAAAAGGATTTGTTTTTCTAGTGAAAAGCACTAGTCGAATGTAAGCAAAAAGATAGCATCAAAAAAGAGTTTAATGCACTGAATTGCAATTGTAGTTTATCATTACGAGAAAAACAGAATGCAAAAAAGAATATAACACAAAAGATAAAAGGAAAAAACTTCAAAGATATTAGAAGAACAGAAAAACAAGGTGAATAGGGCGGAAACATAAAATCTAACTTGCCTGAACAAGTGAAGGCTTATAACGAAGCCTTAATCTGGGAAAGGCATGGCCATTTGAAACTGGTGAGATCTGAACTAGTACACCTGCAAATCTATGGTCCTCTTTTACCCATTTAGCATATGCAAGAGCATCTTTGGCTGGTCCACTGTACTGCATAATTGGAGTCTCAGGGCAGAATATAGGAGAAAGAATGAAAGACTGGGGCCCCCCGTGGGATTAAGTGAAGTCCAAGAGGCTCGCTAAGAATGAAATGCCAAGATAATAAAGCATACCTGCGCATTAATTCCTTGTTCGTTCAGGTATATTCGTCCGTGTATATTACGACCCTGAATCGATTAATGATGTGCAAAGACCAATAGTTACTTAATTGACTAAGATATTCATACTTGATTATAATCAAGAGAACAGAAGATAAAATTGATAAAATTACATTCCACGCTTGATGAAGATACATTGCCCTCTAGTTCTTACTGATTTGAAATACAATGACACCACTTGCCTAGATTCCAGTTTTTGCTTAAATAAAAATGGAATGAGACATTTCAAGGGCTTTTATGATCCTTGCTCTCTCCAAAAGTAGCTCAATGTATAACTTTCAATCAATACCTCCCAGAACAAGGAGCAATCAAAACAGCAATTCTACTTGTGAGTGAAAACACACCACATACTTCAGAGGCTACATTAAAAAAAACCAACACCTAAATCTCAAGTTTGCAGAAAAGAACCTAAATATCACAAACTAAATTCATATTAGTTCCACAGAGCCACAAGCATTCACATAATTAGACATTCATGTCTCCATTAACCATTCTAATCACCAACTTCAGAAAATCAATTTACTTCCAATTTAAGAAAAAGATAAGTGGCAAGCAAAAACCTGCATGAAGGATAGGTGCTTTGACACTTCCTCTTGAGGGTCTTCAATAAACACAAAATGATAAAATTCACCACTACAAACTCATCTTCTTCCCTAAAGTTCTCATCTTTTTCGGGCTGAACCCTTACCCAATTATTGCCTTGTGAATTAGAAGACAATGCACAAATCTCAAAACTTCTTTTACATTCCCAAGAAAAGGGTCGATTTCTTTTGCATCCTAACTCAAATTTGCACCCAGATAAAGGCAAAAAAGGAAATGCCCTGATCCTACTTTTCAAAGATGAAGTTGCAGCTGCTGAAATCTTGGAAGTATGAAAAAAATATCTAGGCTTTTGAGAAGTCGAGGAGATAACTATACCAGACATAGCAGAAGCCTAGAAAAAATGCTGCAGGGACCTAGGCATAAAGATAAGTGTTTGCGTTGCTTTGCTCTCTTCAGCCCTTCTGCAGCTCAACGTTTTCCTTTTTTGGTTTTTCTTTTTCATTTTTTCCCTGGTGGGGGAAGGGCCGGAAGGCCTAGCGGTTTGTCTTGCTCTTTTTTTTTTTTTTTTGGGGTAACTAAATTTGGTCCTCCATCAACGAGGAGAGAAATACGTCCAATAGGGTATAAACGAGTTTAACTAATTTCAAACTCTAAACCACTATTTAATTTAACTATGTTTGTTTATTTTGACAAGTTGAGAATCATGGTCAAATTTTTACTTGTTTATTTATGGAGTTGAAGTGGAGCTCTTAGGTAATTTGAACTTTTTATATATAAATTTTAAATAGTATATTAATTCAACCAAATTCCAATCAAACTTAAAATTCGATGTAGATACAAAATACAAATTTTTTCAAATATTATTTTATTTACATCATAGTTATATTTTTTATTTTTTTCTCACATATATTACATTATGAATATAATTATGGAAAGAATTATTCTAAATAATAGCAAATGAGTTTTTTGGATGTTTATTTAAAACTTTACTATAATTTATTGTAAAAATTGTAGAAATTTTTTTTAAAATTTAAAACTTTTTTCCTTTTCTTATTTTTTCTTTTCCTTTTCTTTCCTCTCCTCTTCTTTTCCCTCACATCACCACTCGCCCCCCGCAAGAAATCGGTGATGGCAACCATTGCAATTTTTTTAATTATTTTTTGCTTTCTTCTCTCTTTCTTTCTCTTCTCCCTCTTCCCCCTCCCTCCCCCGCTACCTCCTCTCTCCTGGTCATGCAACTAGATTGCGGCTGGCGATCTAGTCACGCGATCGGAGGAGGAGGAGAGAGAGGAGGGAGAGGAAAGGAGAAGGGGAAAATAAAAGTTTCTCTTTACCGATGCCCGTGTTGGCGCTGGCGTCGGAAGAGGTGGTGGCGGCAGGGATGGTGGTAGGGGGAGGAAAAACAAGAAAAGAAAGAGGAGAAATTTTTTTGTGTGTTTTTGGATATTTTGAAATGTGTAATTTAAAAATTTTGAATTTTTTTTGAAGTTACTGTTTTTAAAATTATTAAAAAACTTATAAAAGAAAATTAGGCAACAAAACCCACTTGCCATACAGGGCCGCTAATTGGTAAGATGACAAGAGTTGTGGAAAGTTGAAAAGCAACTTAGCAGTGTCCATGATTTGGAGTTACAGCCCTACACAACTAATCCCTTATTTGAGCTTCCCAATTTGTTTTCTCTATCAGTCTTTTTCTCTTTTGGGAATTCGTTATAGGAATAAATATACCCAATAATTTTTTTGTCTTTGATGCGACTCATGTCCCCTCTTTCAATAAATTATGAAATCTCTGGAGTTCAGGCAACGATCAAATTTAGCCATGTTAAGCCAGTTACTAAGTACTTGCAAGGAAAAAGCTCAGGTTTAAAAGAGTTGCCAAAAAAAAAAAAACCTTCTTCAAGAAGAGGAAGGGGAAGCAAATGGACCCTTGACTAGATTAAGTTTGGTTGTCTGACTGTCCATCGGCTGGTTTCAAAGGAGGATACTTCTGTTTTACAATCTTTTAGTAATAGTAAACTAGCTTAACATGGGGCTAGCATATGCGAGCGGAGAAAATGCAGGCCCTCAACAGATTGGTTCAGGAGCATTCTTTGTTGAGAATGAATTTCCTGACCTTAAGTCAAGAATCAACTCCTGCATCATCAAAACTGCAAGGAAGAAAGTACTTGGAAGTTGGAAGGGATGATATATTCCCTTTTCATTTTCACATCTATAAGTCAACTACATAATGATATCAACTAAGTTGCTTGTGATGTATGTATAGCTTTGTTCAGTTTCTGATGAGTTGAAATCAATTAGATGAGTTATATTAAGCTCCTAAGACAGACAGTGTTTTCACCGTATGATTTGGACTATTATTTATTTGTTGCCAATAATTAGTATGTGGCAACACAAGCCAGTGAAGAAGCAATTCTTTCATCATTAGCATACATTCTTCCACTTGAAAATGGAGGCTTACATGCTGAGCATTAGCAAGTATTCATCTTTCACTGTTTCCTCCATCATTCTTTTATTGCTTAGCATGAAATTTCTAGAGTATACTACTGCTTTCACACTTGGAAATGAGACAGATAGAGCTTCATTGCTGGCTTTCAAGACAGAAATAACTGAAGATTCTCTAGGTGCCTTGGCATCTTGGAACAATTCTCTCCATATTTGCAAGTGGGCTGGTGTTGCTTGCGGCCTCAAACACCAAAGAGTAACAAGTCTGAATCTCCAAGGACTGAAGTTGAGTGGAACCATCTCACCTCATCTTGGAAATTTGTCTTTCTACGCTCTCTTGACCTGTCTGACAACTACTTTCAAGGTGGGCAACTTATTCAGGCTTCAATACCTGAATATGAGCTTCAATTTTCTTGGAGGGCATATTTCTGCAAATTTGTCACAATGTTCCAACCTCACGGCTCTTGTACTGGATCACAACTACTTTGTTGGACAGATACCATATGAACTTGGCTACTTAGTAAACCTCAGGCAACTCTATCTTGGAAACAATCTCACAGAAAGTATTCCAGCTTCTATTGGAAATCTTGCAGCTCTCCGGGTGCTGTACTTGTCTTACAACCATTTGCAGGGTGAAGTTCCAGGTTCCATATCTCAGCTTAGAGATTTAGCGGCACTTGGGCTATCAGATAACAATCTTTACGGTGAATTTCCTCCTGCACTTTATAATATGTCATCTCTCAGATTCATTGCCCTGATGGACAACAAGTTCACAGGCTTACATTGGCCTTTCTTGGCCGAATCTTGACAGGATCTATTTGGCAGCTAATTTTTTCACTGGGCAGATTCCATATTCATTTTCTAATGCTTGAAACCTTTTGCAACTTGAACTTCTTGGGAATCAATTCACAGGACAAGTACCTTTTGAGTTTTGGTAGCTTGGCTAATATTCAGTGGATCAATGTTGGTTTCAATCTTTTGGGAAGTGGCCAACCTGATGATTGGAAGTTCATATCCACTTTGACAAAGTGTAGCAATTTATTATTCCTGCATTTTGGTGACAACCAATTCGGAGGCATCTTACCCAGCTCAATAACCAATCTCTCCACTCAATGATGAGACTTTACTTTGAAAACAATAGCATCAGTGGAAGCCTACCTAAAGAGATAGGTAATCTCATAAATCTGAATACACTTTACGTGAGCAGTAATCATCTGACTGGAATTATTCCAGCTTCAATTGGACGACTTCAAACCTGGGAACACTTGCTTTAAGTTCAAACCAGTTTACAGGTGAGATTCCGTCTTCCATTGGCAACCTAACAGAGCTGATAAATTTTTATACTGCCACCAACAACCTTGAGGGAAGTCTACCTTTAACCTTGGGAAATTGTTTAGAGATGCAAAGTTTAGACCTTTCACAGAATAATCTGAGTGGCAGACTACCTGTACAACTGATGCAGATTACAACACTTAGGAGCAGTAAATTTCTCTTACAATTCCCTGACTGGTTCCATACCCCCGGATATTGGAGACTTGAGCAATCTTGTTTATGCTGATTTTTCCTACAATAGGTATTCTGGTAACATACCAATCAGCATGGGAAAATTATCGGCTGTAACAATTCTCTACATGCAGAATAATTCACTCCAAGGGACGATACCTTATTTTGGGGGTCCGCTATCTCTTCAGTATCTAGATCTCTCCTGCAAAAACCTTTCTGGCCAAGTTCCACCTTTCTTTATGAATCTTTCTTCTCTGGTCTACCTTAACTTGTCATTCAATAATTTAGAAGGTAAGATCCCCACAGAAGGAGTATTTGCTAATGGTAGTGCAGTAGAAGTGCTAGGGAACCCAAGCTTTGTGGTGGGATCCAAGAAGTGCATTTGCCAAATTGCCTCTTGCAAGATCCAGAAAAAGTACACAAGAAGCACTCTCTCTCTCAAGTTGACACTGACGCTAGTTGGGGTGGCTTCAATCATATTCCTCTCACTCTTGCCAAGAAACAATCTATGATGTTTCTAAGAAACAATCTGATGTGTCATCTAGTTCCAGGCAAATCTATCCAAGTGTTTCCTATAAATTGCTCCATGATGCAACAGGAGGATTCTCTTCAGAAAACTTGATTGATTCAGGTAGTTTTGGAACTGTAGACAAGGGAACTCTTAGTCCAGATGAAACAGTAATAGCTGTCAAAGTACTGCACCTCCATCTGCCAGATGCTTCTAAGAGCTTCATGGCTGAATGCCAAGCCTTGAGACATACAAGGCACCGCAACCTTGTCAAGGTAATAACAGCATGTTCAAGTTCTGATTTCCAGGGTAATGATTTCAAAGCTATAGTATATCCCTTCATGACAAATGGGAGCCTAGAGGAGTGGTTACATCCAAAATCTGAAAGGCACCATAATGGCTTAAACATTATTCAGAGAATCAACATTCTCGTAGATGTGGCTGCTGCAATATCTTAACTTACATGAGCCGTTAAATAGCTGTCTAGGAGGATATTGCCTGGCTTTATGTCACAGTGAACCACAGGATATTCCTCTCACTGGTGCAAAATGCTTCTACTTGCAGCACTGTTTTATATTCCTTGAATTACGCTAACTTTTAATAGAAGTTAATAAAAAGTTAGTAAGGTTGCGGCGCTGTGAATTTGCCACGGTCATATTGAGAATTTGAAGAAGCAAATGATGGTTTGGCAAAATTAAACTAAAGTACACGTATACAAAGTCATGAAGTCATTTTGGAAGTAGGTATAATTTAGAAAACTACATCTACATGGTGCAAACACGTTCTTTTGATAAAACAGGATATTCTTTTCATGTACAAGATTAAAAAGGAGGCCAATATGCTTCATCAACCTAAGGTATCATGCGCTCATATCAGAAACTCTTTGAACTAGAAATGTGCTGTTCTTTCATAACATTTCTCCATGGCTCTGACAGTCTGCTTGAAACAAACTCCTCAGGAACACCATCACATGCTTTCACAAATTGGAAAAGAATACAAAACAAAGGAACAACATGCAAATAAGCAGGCTCCCATAGATTTACTAGTTTAGAGTGAAGGCAAGTTTTGTCATTATCATATCAAATAAGATGACATGAGATTCCAACTAATTTTCATGTGAGATGGCATCGGTGCGACAAAACGAAGGACATCTGGTTTTGAGCTGTACTTGAGTTTTGACTGGTAATTACTGCCTTTACTTGTATGGATTTCAAGAAACTTTTCAATGTTTGGAAGTACCATCTCTCGACAATGCAGATGAAGTAGGGGAACCTTAGACAAGACACTCCCTTTCTGAACATCCAAACCTTCTGGCCTTCGCAATCTATAGGGTTCCCCACTGTTTGGCTCAAAATCTACTCTAGGCATTTGCTTCCATTTGTGATGAACAAACCAGCCATATTTATAGTCACCCACAATTGGAGTACCAAGAGCTTCAGCACAGTGCACACGAAGCTGAAGAAAGAAGAACAAAGTCAGATAATGTACAATTCCCACAGTAAGCTTTCCACAGAGGTACGTTGAAATAATAACATTGCAGAGGCAAACCATTCAGACTGTAGGCCTCTAGCAATTATAGGTCAAGCTAATGATATTACGTGTAAGCATCTGCAATATAACAGCACTTGCAAGTACTTTCTTTAATGGTCCAGACGAGGCATCCAGAGGCAAGATTGGATTGTTTAAGTTTCCAAATTAGGTATTCATGTGTACAATAAGGTGTTAGACGAAGGCAAAGCTGCTCAGGGAATAGAGAGCCACAAAATGTTTGCATGCAGAAGTTGGAATATCAGAGCACTTAAGGACGATGCTACTCCACGGGAACATCAATTAGTGGCCTTTATCCAACTTGTCTATTTATGGAATTACTGCCAAAGCTTCATCTTTCCCATTAATATCTGTTTCTTCAAAAAGCTAATCATACATCTACCTTTTTTTCTGTAAGTGCTATTAACAATTAAAAGGATTGGACCAAAGATGAGATAACTCACAAGATCTAATCAAACGTACAAAACTCAATGAGAAAAAAAAATGAGAAGCACATTTTTACAGTTGTCTGAAGAAGTAAAATAGTTCATGTTATCATTATCTGAACTCTCATTGTCAGGTAGAAGCATACAGTTGAGATCAGCAGGCAAAGAGTGATCCTTACTTTTGAAACACAATTAAACAAGTCTTAACTCTGACCCTAGGATAGGGAACTGAATTATTTCCATCAATCTAACAAATCTCATTTCTGAATAAGCAATAAAGGTTGTAGGCTTTAACTAAAGAAAGAAGCAACGGGGAATAATACCTGATGCTTCCGGCTTGTATGTGGACGTAATTCAATCCATGAGCACCCATTAATAATAGGACCAAGCACCCTATATTCAGTTATGGCCTCTTGGAAAGCTTCAAGGCCTGAACGATTCGCCACTATAACCCTTTCAGTCTTCCCATCATCAAGCATTACCTGCAGTGAAGAAAGAAAGCAAAAGCATCACCAAGTTTGTCTAATACACAGATATTCTGTAGACGATAATTGAGACTTGAGAGAGAGAGAGAGAGAGAGAGAGAGAGAGAGAGAGAGAACCTTTGTAATAGGTGCATGAATTAGACCTTCCTTCTCTTTAGGGGAACCTATGACTAGTGCCCAATACCGTTGATATGTTGACTCACAAGCATCACCCCAACCCTAAAGGTCGAATGTTTAATGTATCAAGATGCAAGAATAGTAAAACCAGTTCATGAGACCCTATGCGACTCAAGAAGCACGCTTTCATGAGTAACAGTGCAACCCCTTGAATACATGGGGGAGAAATTTGCAAAAAATAGGTACAGAAAGCTAGAAGCAAAGATAAGGAATGATTTAACATCTATCAATCCATAACAAGTAGCTCTTAGACTACCTTAGACAAGGATTTGGCCTTATTTATGTCACTGAACAATAAATGGAGATAGGAAATGCTTTCCTTTGTTCTGCCCATCAGGAGGAGGCCGCTGCTTTCTCTGTCAAGACGATGCACCTAAACATGCAAATGAAAGAGCTTTTTCCTTCTGAAAATGAAAGAAAGATTGCTATTTGATAATATTGAGAAATAGGTTTTAATTTAAAGATTCATCATCCTGAAGACCAAGGTAATACCAACTTGAATTTATTTACTAGACCCTATAAAGGCATATTCCAGCAATAACAGTTATACCGTTCGTGATGAATAAATCCATCATTTCAAGTAGACGACCTATCAAGAGCTTGGAAGGCTAACAAGCAAGCATGTGTAACATTAATGATTTTTGTCACTTGTCATGATTTAACTTTTGAACCACCATCATTTGCAAAAACAAAAGACTTAAGAATACATATAAGGAATTGTCAAGTTGGTCAAGAGAACTCAAAGCAATCAGCCAACATTTAACCTACCAATTTAGGGCCTTCATCATAATCATATGACAATGCAGCGGCAGCCAACGCATCCATGCTGTTGTGAATTGGCAGGTTACCCTATTGCCAAACCATGTATATTAGAATAGGAAGAATAGGAAATGAATCAAGGACAGCACTTTAACACAGCAAAGAGCATGGGAGATCCTAACCTTCACTGGCAGCTTAGGAGGCTTATTCAGCACAAGTATAGCAGAGTCCTGGCATATTTTCCGGCAGATATTAGTTCAGCCAGTTATTTAGAATGCACAAAAGATCTAGATTTTTCAAACCATAGCGCCAATATTCCACCAATGCAGAACAAAATAAAAAGCATGCAGGGTAATGCACAAGACGGGATCCATAAAGCCCTTGATTTTAAATTTTCTTCATGGTCACTGGGTTCAAAGGAATTCAACCATCAAAAAACGTAGTTGCATTTATTTTCATTCACTAGAATCAACAAATATCTAATCCATGCACTTAACTCAAATAGAAATAGACAAATACATCAGTAGATGAATAGATGAATATGCCTTGTATTTTACAAGTCTTTGCAAATACTCTATCTCATCTGCATTTGGGTATAGAGTCCCACTTGGTATGATGTCAAACCTCTTGGAAATCTTAGCTTCAGCAACAGAAACAGGTACAGACACTCTTGCCCCTGGCTCCATGGCCTCATTGTGATTAATCTATGAATCATTATACAATGAGATGACACTCAAACTAAACTGAAAACTTAGAGAAAATTAATGAAAAATAGCAATAAGCTGAGGAAACAAAAAAGAAAGTTGGAGAGCATGAATGGCTTGAATTTTCTGCCTCTAAATGTATGAGTTAAGGCTAACAGGTGAGTAGATCATATGAACAGCAGTACCTTCCTCGTCGATTTTGTTTGCATTCCCTGACTCTTCGAGGACATAGTGGAATCAAGGCTTTCCATCTGCACCTGCAAGAGAACAATTTAAAGTAAAGGTGTCAAGTGACAAATGAAAAAGGTGAACAAGAGGGGAAAATTAAACAATAATAATAAAAAAAAGGAAAAAGTGAACATGAGAGCGTTATACTGACAAGGCCCTTGTTGAAGTGAGATTGAACGACATCGCCAGGTATGTCATCAAAATAATACTTGAGCCAGCTAATGGCAGTGACGTGACCGGTGGACGAGTTCCTTCCAGGCAAAGGGTGACCCGGAAATGGGGGCAGAGATAGGAGCTGGCGAGGTTTTGGTCCCTTTCTTGGGCGGCCCAGATGGGCTACATTGTTCGTTACTCGTATCACCCGTGGAGGCTGGACCTTTTTGGACCTCGAGTAATGCCGGACACCATAACCACTAAGTTTCACAACCTTATTCCACCACATTCATCCGATACCAAAAGAACAGCGCTAGGCCCTCGTCCTTCATCCAAAAACAGCCTCTGTCAAATGATTTGTCTATATTCATTAATCCTATGAGAATTAACAGTGCAACCGCTAAAATTTTGACTGGTTTATAACATGTAAAGAAAAGAAACTGAAGAAAGTGAAAGTAGCTGCGTCAGTTTTTATCAATATGTTGCAGGATGATGGAGGTAATGGGGCTTGAGGGAGGCATGCAGCAAGCCAAGAAATGAAGCATTTTTAACAAAAAAAGAGTAATCCGACGACAGCAATACAAGCAAATCATACTAGTTAGCTGCAGCATTTATTCAAATACTTAGTATGCATCAAGAATAGCCCGGCATAACCATCCACAAAAGCTCAAGACAGAACATTTATCAATTATTCTAGTATATAACGTAGAGTTACGATCAAATTAACTAGGACAAGTTACCTTCAATACTGGTTACAGAGAACAGAGGACCCGTCAATGTTAACTAAGAGCAGGAAAGGTCGTAGTAGTGTGGTAGTGACCGTAAGAGGAAGGGGAAGAGGAAAAGTAAAAGCTACCGGACGGAGGAACGAGGGCGGTAATTGTTTCTTGTCCGACGACGTTAAGAAGATTTTTATTTTTCTGGAAATACCAATAAGCTTCAAAAGTTCGTGCTTCTTTATTTGTCAAAAATACTAATT